GATGGGCTGGAAACTTTCCTACTTGAAGACTACTGGCTTCACTCGCTGGCCACTGCAGCAAGGACATCCCCTCTGAAGATTCTTCGCTGCTCTCTTTTTCCTCAACACCTTCCTCAAGTGGCAATTGTTCTGCAGTTGCATGTCTACATTATAGGAGATGGTCTTTGCTTTGCCTTTTTCCAAAGACAACTGTCATGTTTGTTCGCCCTTTCCTTCTTCTTCTTACTGCCCCTATGAATGTACCTTTAACTTGACTCAATCTGGCCTCTACAGCCGGGCATGTTCCTGCAAAGGACCAGTATGTGTGCTTCGATGGCTGTGTTTCTCTTGCCATCCGTGTTCTGATTGGTAGCTACACAGCCTTGGAATACATATGGAGGACTTGGTTATCAGCCGGAACTTCCCACAGTCCTTCATTGTGTCTGGTCTATTAGCATGATCTGTCTGAACTGTGAATGCCTTTTCAGCGATGTTCTTGTCCACAAATGTGTCTTTGAGACTTTTTGAGAAGTCGTCAAGAGTCTGCGTTCCTGCCCTCACGTCGAGTTTTATACTCAAATCCTGCAGCAGACACCTTCAGTATAACCCATGCCTTAGCATCTCTACCAAGGGAGGACGTTGCCAACGACCCAACTTGGGGTGGAATCCGGACAACAGCGCAGTATGATTGAACTTCTGCTAACCAAGCAAGCAAGTTTCGTTCTTTTCACCTGTGTACACAGTAGGCATTCTCGTTTTCACTCTCTTTCTTCGCTGGTTCCTTGCTGGGTTCAGATTTTGCCTTCTGACTCGGGACTGTACTGGCTGGAAGATATGGCCCTTCCTTCCCATCCCCATCCTGACTCAAGGACCCACCCTTGGAGCAGAACTGAGACTCTTCCGCCTTTCTTTTTTCAGAGTAGTTCCGACAATCCTTTCACCTCTGCCAGGAGCATCGGTTTCTTCTCCACAAATTCTGGTTCTTACACCTTACCCTCAGCTTCACTTCTGTCTTCCCGTTTCGCTATGCCGCCGGCCCTGTTCTGATTTTCATGACAGGTTCTGTTTGCAATTTCTGCATACCATCCATCACTATCATTATGCTGCATAGTTTCATCACGACTCCTTTGAGATCATCGACAGTTGAAAGGGTGAGTAGTAAAACATCCAACATCTTCTATGATCGCTTTCCTTTCTTCGTTTTCGTACGCTCCCCTACGCATCACTGCCATGCTATTATCTTCTCCTTTTTCCAGCTTCAACGTTCTCTTTTTCCATTTTCAAATCCTCAGTTCCTCTTCAAGTTGCACAATGTTTGAATCTCCTCGTTGCAAAGTATAAACTACGATTCCTAGGTGAGCCGGTGTTTGCCTTCAAGACGGGGAAAGAGGTTAGGTAACAGCAAACAACCTTTTGAAAAAGAGGAGACAGGTGATCTGCCAGCCATTCTGCCGAGACGTCAACATAGAAATCATGGTAGTAGTTTGTACTAGTTTCAAGCCAGTGCACGAGAGCACTGCAACACTCCTGATTGAGGGGATGCTCCGGAAGTTTTGCCTCCAGTATATTGCAGATATCTATCAGTAGCGGTCCACTGCAATCCAAAAACCTCCGCACCACAATCTGATTATTGCATTCTGGATAGTAAAATACCAGACCTGCAACAACCAATGGAGTACAGAAACACAGGCACAAACATGTTCCATTTGCCACACGTCACATGTCTGAAAACTGCACTTTTCATCCATCCAGAGTGATAACAAAACATCTCCAACTTCGAGTATCAGTGGTCACACATGCATGGTTCAAATAGGAACCGGGGCAACTGGGCCTTCAATCTGTCCAGACGTATCGACACTGTCCTTGAACACATACAACACAATCAAGAAAGGGGTTTACATGCCTCTATTGTACTTCATGTTGCTTGCCATAGAGGTGAAACTGTTTCATTGTTGAATTGTCTCAACTCAAGGGCTGTCATTGCCTGTAATAGGATTGAATTAATTTGAATATGTTTTGATTCTGGATCTACTCAGCTGGGTAGAATAGAGGCTGTTGTGGTGAGAATTCAAAACGCACACACACACACACACACACACACACACACACACACACACACACACAATGGTACCCTCCACGAAAACTTGACTACCAAAGTTTGCCGGTGATTCGCAAACACTCTCTCTCTCTCTGCCTTCATACCCGGGAAGCCGCACAGCATGGGCGCACGATGTCTTCTTGGATTTCACCAGTCGCCAGGAAGTTAGGCAAGGCAGCAAGTGCAACAGTTAATAGCTCCTATCATCAGACAGAAGAACGCCCATCATATCTTGTTGAAAAAAAGAAAAAGAAAAAAAAAGGAAAAAAACGGCCTTAGCAGCAGTAGGGTTCCTTTTCCACCAGCAACTCGAGAAAAACAACGAACCCATGCTCACACTTCCTTCTGTTATGGCTGAAGGAGAGCCCAGTCAGCATGGATCGCTCCTCTTTTACAGAGGATTGGCTGACATTTATGCATCTTCTTTGGTTCTCTCTGTTGTAATGAGAACTACGTGTCTGACTCTTTCTATTTCTTGCACACATTGTTCATATGGCTCATACCTAAGCTCTTACAGGTGACTGTACTGAATAGGGTGACAGCATAGGCTTACCCATCAGCAATGGCGGAAGGTCGCGGTTCCGAGGGTTCGGTTGTTCACTGACGGATGTGGTCAACTTGCCGTGTCAGATGAGTAATCTCTGACCTTATTACTTCACTATATGCCGGAAAGTCCTAACCTTTTTTTTTGAAGTCCTAACCTATTTATTGAATTGAATCAATTGATTGAATTCAATTCATAGGCCTGTGTCTCTCAGTCGCACTCAATGTGAATCGTAGTCCAGATCCTTGTTGGCTTAGTGAGGGCGACCGTGCAAGTCACCGAATGAATTGCCCACTTTGGCGTAGTCAAGTGGGACCTTGCAGATGTCTGCAACGAGATGGACGCGACTTATTTCAGGCATGGACCAGGCATGAAAGACACCTGGAACTCAAACCGATCTCTTCCGCACTTTTGAGAGTCATTCTCCAGTCTCTGCCCATTTGAAATCTTCGCCCAACAGTCTAGACTGGGGAGTAAGTAACCAATCAAAGGGAACTAAAATATTCCGAGCTGTAAACAACTCAAAGCAAGACCAGCATATGTGAGCGAAGTCAAAAGCAGCACTATGTGAATGGCATTTGTTCAGTAGTTAGAGCACCAGTGGAAAATGTGCCTTGTGGTATAAGGTTGCAGGTTCAAATCTTTGTGCGCTCAACGTTCCACGCATCGACACGAATGGCATTGATTGCTGCATCACCGTTCGCACACCAGGTTGCTCTATGGGGAGCATCAGGATTCGGGAATTCATGGCGCACCTAGCATGGGGCGTCCTTCGAGTCATCTTCAGCATGGCATAGTGAAGCTGTGGGAGTGGGGTCCTTGGGGGGCGTCCAACTTGGGAGTCCTTCCCTGTGGGTGGAGTCGTGCCCTGGGGGGGATTTAAAGGACCTCCTCGGGGTGACTTAGAGCCTTCTGTAAGGGTGCTACCACATCCTGGGGGGTTCTCCTAATGAAACTGTTGAGGATGTTGCTGGTGCTGAGGCACTAAGTAGGGGACTAGGGATGAGGGCTCCCCAAGTAGGAACTCGGGTCGTTACCGAGTACCATGGGAGTGTGGTAGAAGAGAGGAGAACCTATGGTGAAAGAACACCTCCGCAGACAGTTGAAAGACCTCAACTGAGGCAGGCAATAGAAGTGATTTGTGCGACCGCCCTACTCCGTACGAGGATCTGGTCTATAGAGCTAGCGCAGCACTAAGAAGCAAGGGCAAAAGATATAAGCAGGGCACTTGTAGTAGGATGGACCATCGTGACCATGCACTGCATGGACGGGGTGAGCCGCAAGTTGTAATATGGTTGAGGAGAACATTGTAATGCCAGCAGGGGACCCTCACTTGGGGGGTTGACAGGTCGTAAAAAGGACTGACCAGGACTAACAAGGTCACAAAGGTCGACTTAGGACGCCCCTAAGACTATGATAAATGCGGTCTAGTGGGTCTAGATCCACCGTTCACATTGATTTGAAGGCCCGGAACAGAAGAAAGAAATACATATTCGATGGAAAAGCGACACATGGCGAAAATTAGCTACGCTGTTTATACGGGCGCCCAGGCACCCAACTTGTGCCCGAATACAAGCCTGGATGACCGGCCGGGAATGAACCCTGGGCAGGTTTCTCAGCCGCCCAGAGCCAAAAAAAAATAAAACAAGAAAATCACAAAATTCCAGGAAACAAATATGCTGTGTAGAATTCAGGTGCCATGCATTTTTAAAGTGCCACATGATACGTGCTGGCAAGATGGGAAAGATTGAACAAGGATTGGGGGGAAGCACTGCCAATTGTAAATTCAGTGCAGGTGATGTGTGAGGCTCTGCCTTGTTGTAACTGCCTAAGCCTCTAAAAATGAACTCGTGCCATCTGATCTATGGTATCAAACAGCGGGGATTGTGTCGTGATGGCTTCTAAGATGATCAAACATCCGATCAGCACCATCTGGTGCCGTGGAGATGTAACATATACTCTTCAAAGACTTCTGAAGTCATTCAAGAGCAAAGCCCTCCTGGTTATTGCTTCCCATACTTCTCCGCTTGTAACCCCCCCGAAGTTTCTGAATTTGGGCCTCGCTCCACTACTCTCAAAATGTGCAAAAAAATAGTGAATCTTCCACTAGAACATGGAAAGATACACCACCCATGATTTTTTGTCTTTACCAGGCCATTACCGGCCACACGTCCTCTGAGGAATTTTGGTTTGCAAGCTCAATAGGGTAGCAAATTCAGCAAAGGTAAACTGTAGTGGAGAGGGTTCCCACAAATGGGCCTGGCCTAGTTGGTACACCCATGAAGTGTTGACACACAGACCCAAGTTTTAATCCAGATGGAACCAGTTGAATACAAAGAAACCATTCTGAATTATTCGGGGCCGGTCAGTTCAAGATGGTATCTCAAGGGCGTCACCCTTAAAAATAAAATAAAAAAATAAAAATAAAAAAAACTGAGAGGGTTCTTGGAGTCGAGGCAAAGGCTGACAGTCAATCCCCATGTGAATGGAGTAATCAAGGCTGTTCAGGGGTCCTTTGGCCAGACAGGGCAGATGCAGGAAACATCAAAGTGTAAAAAAAAGTTGAAAAACATAACATAAAAATATGGGCACCTGGGCCATGGGCCTGACACCTCAAATTCTGGAGGCGCAAAACGAACACGCGACCGCCGATCTAATTTATCAACGGCGGGCCCAGCGTTTGACGTTTCGGCCTCGTTTTCTTGCGGCGACAAGTTTCTGACTGCAAGGCTGGAGCCGTGTACTTGTGTTTTAAATCACCAGTTCCTCCCTCGGAGAACGAAAATTGCCACAACCCCGGTCCGTCCATTGGATAAGCAGTGCTACCGGACCAAAATGGCCGGTGGCTGAAGTCGAAAAAGAAAAGAAGTGCACTGCTGGCAGTTCTTTTTTTTGGGGGGCAGGCAGTGCAAATCCGCATCAGGAGAAGAAAGAGGCTAGGAGGTACTGGTGGTTAACTGAATGTCCTTCCCAATTATTACCAAAACTTTTCTGTTCGTGTGCTACATTCACATCAGTCGAATTCGCCTACGATACGAGTCCGCATCCACTTCAATACTTGGTTGTTACGATTCCCGTTCAGATGTCGATCATGGACCTCACGTTGCATAGTGTCTGCACATTTCTTTGGTTTCTCAACCAAGTAATCAATCGTTCTTGAATCTTGTAAATGATACTGATCACCGGGGCGTAGACGTTTGAGAGCATGCAGGCCACATGAACAGGAGCCTATCACAGAGGCAGATTATATTTTTACAGAGGGTTACTTTGTAAGTTTGTGGAAATAATATGACTGGGTGTTTGGGCTGAAACCAATGTTTTCTTCTGGACAGGTACAGATCTCTCTTTTTCATCCTTCTCCAGCTCCTTTCACGGGCCACTGTGGTGACTTGCCAAAGGCTCTGGATTTCTCCTTCCAAATCATTCCTCGTGTGGCTCCCCTTGCCCTGTTGTGGGAGTATTCTTTTGACAGGAAGAGTTGTAGGGGGCTCGCTGCACTGCTCTCGACATGCAAAAAAGAGAAAAAACATGGCGGTGTATCTTTCCATGTTCATCCCTTCGTTGTCGGGCCCTGGAATGTGAGGTCCCTGTCTTCTTGCTGCCGATCTGATCTAGCCACCTGTCGTGTGTCATCCTTGGTTGCTCTTCTATGGCCAAATTCGAGTTGGTCCCTCATGTGCCTGGGTAATCTGGTGACAAAAAAGACCAGTCGGAGTTGTGCCAATCCTTCCACCCTAAAAGTACGCCCGTTTAGCCATGCCACCTTGTCTCTCAGCTACAGTTCAGCTGTATAACTTGTAGTTGCAAAACTTGAGAAATAAGCCCCAAGGGGTTTTGTTCGGGGAAAGAGGGCGGGAGAATGGGATATGATCACACGCATGCACACCAAGGCAGGTGGACTTGGACAGATGGATGGAATAGGCTATGAAATGGATGAATGGGATATGGTATCGATGAATGGATAGAATGGGATAGACGGGATAGACGGGATAGACGGGATAGACGAGGAGTGAAAGACTTACAAGGAGTTCCTAATCAACGTCAAAGCAGATCAAAATATGGTACCATAAAACCCAAAATTGAAAGATGATGGGATAGATGGATGGATGGGGTGGACGGACGGGATTGATGGGCATGGAAGGGAGAACGAGCACATGAAATTGAATTGAACGGACTGAGTGGTGTGGACTCGATGGATGTACTGATTTGATTTGACTTGGATTGATGGATGGATGGACAGAGTCAGATATAGACAGGATGGATGGGCGGATGGGAGTCTTGAGAAGGGAAAAATGGGCAGGGCCAATGGATAGCACGGGCCAGACGGAATGAAATGGGGTGGAGATTGAAGGGGATGGATTGGATGGATTGGGTGGTTTGGGGGGATGGATGGATGGATGGATGGATGAACGGATGGATGAATTTACGGACAGGTCAATCTATATATGGATCTATGGATTGGACAGGTTGGATGGATGGATAGATGGACTGAGTGGATCAGATGGATGAACTGGGCTGTTTGGATAGGAATGAATTGACATCATCCTTTCTACATACTGTTTCGGTGTGCGGTATTCTGTGTCGTGTGCAACCTGGCTGTATGCCGTACAAGGCCATACACTTTAGCACACGATATGTTGCGCGATTCTGATGTTGTACGCGCTATGGGCTGTTTGGGGACAAGTGTTGTAACAAGGATAAGAAGTGGGAGAGGGGGAAGCAGCATATCTGTATGAGTGCAAACCCCAATGCTGACTCCATGTTACAAGGCCACCAAGGACATCAGCACCAGATTCAATTCGGTGGTTGTAAGTGGGGCTGTCCAAATGGGTAGAGAGATGAGACAGATACCAGTTCTTGCAGCTGATGCCAGATCGTGCACTGTCTTGTCAACAGGGACAACAAAAGTGCTGCCGAAGATGGGGCACGAGGGATGTGCATATTGAGTACTCTTGGTGTGCCACACCAACTTTTTGACGCATTGCACAGGTGCGTCACCAGGAGAATCAGTGGTTAAATGACAAGGGCTAAGGCTCTGGGGCCTGTGTGGACTGAGTCTGCTGGAGACTGCCTAAGGTAAGAGCACGTCTGCACCAAGGAAGCACCCGTACGTCGGGGCTTTACAACCCTCATGGTGGACATGGAGGGTTCAAGATTGACCGAAGAGGGCAAGAGTCAAAAGTGAAATTCTTAGTGTTTCATGAGACAGATATCTACCCTAGGCATGGCCAAAATATTTGTATGAGTGACACGAGTGAATCACAATCTCTCTCGCACTACAAATACGTGTGTAACGACACAATTCGAGAAATATTTAGTGCTCACCTCTGAACAATACACTCACAGCACTCATCGAACTTGAAGATAGGTGTGTTCATTTCTGAACGCATGCACTCACAGTTCTCATCCGTGAAGCAATGGATCATGCAAGCAGCCTCTTGCTGAAAGAGCGATGATGAGCTTGCCAACAAATTAACAAGAGCTGTTGCACCTCCAGCAACCCTGCATGTGCAAATACCAACCGAGAGAGAATACACTTGAGTCCAAGTTCAACGACCAGCAATGCACCCCATGGTAAAAACCGAACAAATTGTGACCGTGATTCTGGACCACTGTGCAGACGATCAGGAGTCTGTGGTCCGCAGTTCGGAGGCCTGCCGACACCCGGTGATAGGTACCCTTGACTGCAAGGATTGGTGCCCACCTCAGGGTACAAGTCGTGGGGCGGTGCCCAGTGACCACCTGTGGGTTAGGCCGATTATCTCATGTAATTGTATCATTGGTTAGGGGAGTCTACAGACTGTCCAGGGCCTGATGAGTCGGTGAAAAGCCCAACAAAACCATCTGTTACAGCCCCCCATTCTCTCTCTTTCTCTCTTTCTGGCTATTGGTTCACTGGGAAGGTCTCTTTGACAAATTGACCGCATATATTCTCGCAATTTTTTCAATTTAAAGAAAGAACTGGAAAACAATGTTGTCCAGGCATTAGAATGCAAACAACTTCTGGGTAAGGGTCACATTGAAATTCACAACCCAGCTGAGGGAAGGGAAGGGAGGGGGGGGGTGGGGGGCATCTGTTTATTGTCCAGATCATCCATCATCCATGTCTCTGGTGCCCGGGTCCGCTGTAGTCATGGAACAGACGCTAGCACCTAGTACAGCAAGCTTAATCTAGTACAGATTGTTGAGCACAGCCCATTTTTCGTGCTGCTTTTCAAATTGCTGGCACTGGGATTCAATCCCAGGCCGTGATATATCTCAGTTATGCAATTTTGACGGAAAAGTTGCTGCTGTGATATCCTCTCAGTCAGGTAATTTGATGGGTGATCAGGTTCTAGGTGTAAGCAGCAGAGTTATGGTGTCTGCTTGTTTAGTTTTGTACACCAGCACAGTTACAAGGTCTGGATGTTTTGTTTTGCCCGTCAGTTGATTCACCCTTTTTGCTGGCTCACAGGTTGAGGAGAGAAGCTGGTGCAGCCATTGCTGCTCTACACCTTGTGCATGCCCAATCTTCTTCGGTGCCACCTTTTGCATGGTGATCAGGAAGGTTGGGTGCCCGAGTGTGCCAATGTTCAGAAGCATTCCCTGAGGCTTTTGCCGTGAAGAAGCAATTACTGATTTCCAATGAAGCGCAACAGAGGTGAATGTCACCCGTCTGTTCATGACCACCTCCTTGCCCGGTCCACAGGTTCCATATTTTCCCGACATGGATCACAAAGAAAAAAAGAAAAACAAAGTGTTGTACTTACTCTTTCCCCCTCCGACATGGACCTGACAGCTTCCATGATGACCACAACCTCACCAACCAGCTTCCCCATTCTGCAAAGTCCGTCACGGCGACCTCGACTTCGACGGACAGAGGCAGAGGGAGCCCGCCAAGGCCAAACTAGACACGCTGTCAAACTTTGAAGGTGAACAAAATGAGGTACGGACAAGTGGTTGTGGGTGATCAACAGCCAGCGGGACTGTTCCAGGATTGTGAAGGATGTGGAAAAGGTCCACTCCATGTTCTCCAATCTCGATAACACTCCTACAGAATGGGTCAAGCTGAGCTACACCGAGCAGAAGGAGGCACTCCCAAGTTCGCAAAGAACATGCTTCGGTTGTGGTCCAAGAATATCCCTATACTCTTAAAGGAAAGAGCGCGTCTCGTGTGACGGTCCCACGCAAGATCTTGCCTCGGTGTTGGGAAACCCTGGGGTGGAGGCGCGGGCCCGAAGACGTAGTCATAGCTGAGGTTTTTGTTTTCCACATTGTGCAATGCCAAGGGCCGCATGGAATTCTTTCTTCAACAATTTGTTGTTTTGTGGGCGCAGCTGTTATGAAGAGCATGTGGTGTCGAAGGCCTCGTGGAGTTACTTTTCTCACGGATTTGTTGTTTTGTGGGCACGGCTGTTTTGAAGAGCATGTTTTACTTTTCTCACGGATTTGTTGTTTTGTGGGCACGGCTGTTTTGAAGAGCATGTGGTGGTCAGTAGGTTTTGTGATTTCGTGACGTATGTTCCAATACAAGTACATAGCAAACCTGTTTCGAATGGGACACAATTTGCACTGCGGACCAAATCTGACATTGTGAATGAATCTTATGACAGGACACGGAAAGAGTGCGTGGAGTTCTTTTTTTTCAGGGATTTGTCGTTTTGTGGGCGCGGCTGTTTGAAAGAGTATGTGGCGGTTGAAAGGTCATGTGCTTCCCGACACATATTCGAATTCTGTTCTGAACAGGACACGCTTTGCACCGCAGAGTCTTCTCTTTTTGTGGAGTGGTCGCGGTTCGAGCCGCGGGTTTTCCCTTTTTTTTCTTTTTTGTTCGGGTTTGGCGTCCTCTGGTGGTTCTGTGCGACGTACAAATATAAGCAAATAGGTAAGTGGTACTTGGGGGCTCGCTCCACAACTCACCAAATCTGTAAATTGTGAATGAATCTTATCCATGGACATGGAAAGATACATCCCTATACTCTTAAAGGAAAGAGCGGGTCTCCCATGACGATCCCACGCGAGACCGCGCCCCAGTGTTGGGAAACGTCGCGGTAGAGGGGCGGGCCGGAAGAAGTACCCATAGCTGAGGTTTTAGACAAGCTCATTCTTTTATGGGACGGGCCATAGCCAAGGGCCGCACGGAGTTTATTTTTCCAGTGATCTGTCATTTTGCGGGCGCGGCTTTTTTGGAGAGCCCATGGTGTCGAGGGCCTCGTGGAGTGTTTTTTCAAGGATTTGTTGCTTTGTGGGGGCGGCTGTTTTGAAGAGCACACAGCAGTCGGAAGGTTTTGTGGTTTCCAGATGTACGTTCGAATACAAGTTCATAGCAAACCTGTTTCGAACAGGACACGATTTGCACTGCGGATCAAATCTGTACATTGCGAATGAATCTTATGCCAGGGCATGAAAAGATACCGAGCCGGGTGGAGTTTTTCTTTTCAAGGATTTGTTGTTCTGGGGGGTGGCTGTTCTGAAGAGCGTGCGGCGGGGAGGTTTGAGCAGGATGCCATGTGTTAATTCAGGTTGACGGAGAAATGTGCAGTCACTATGGGATGTGTGTGTGGTTGTGTATACCAGGTCATGGAGTCTGTTGGTTATGTGTCTGCTTCATGAGAAGGAGGTCACGAGTTCCGTGTGTCATGGGGCAATCTATGCTGGGATGGGATGAAGTACTCCTCGATGGGTTTCACTTTCACGCCAACCCACATAGCTGCAAGTGTGACAAGCTGAGATCTGTTCCGCGCTAGTTCCTGCGCGGACTAATTGACAAACCATCTGGGCGCTCATGTGCCACTCCGGGTCAAATCGGCAATATGTCCCCAATTTTTGAAACTTACTACAACGAGTAGTCGCATGCAAGAAGGGTAATCACTCAGCTTGTAAACGGGTTTTCTTTTTCACAATTTTGTAATCTAGGACTGCTTGGACGCGCCTTAGTGTGCATATGAACTGGGTGATGTGTCGGGTACGGGTTGCATGTGCTTTTTTGGTCGGTATTTTCAGTTAAGTAGATGTACACGGCAACTTGGGTGAAATGGTGTTCAAACTTTGAACCTCTTGGGAAACTCCGTGCATCAGCAACGCACATGTAGTTTAGAATTCCTTTTCAGATTTATGTGGCATGGGCTTGTACTCGCGACTGCTAATCAGTGCATAGGAATAAAGGTTTGCAGCTTTCTTGCTGCTTCACCCTGCTGCAACTTGCCCATGTTTTCTAAGAAACAGTGAAAATTTTGCCCCATGTTGTTTTCTAAAGAAACAGTGGAAATTCTGGTATTAGAGTTTCCCCAATGTTGTTTTCTAAGAAACAGTGGAAACTCTGGTATTAGAGTTTCCCCCCATGTTGTTTTCTAAGTAACAGTGAAAAAATTGGAAATTCTCGTATTAGAGTTTGCTTGTGCAGCTAACGATATTCACATGTGGACATGCTTTCTTCGCATGTTGTTTCGAGTGTCGTACATGTGATCCCACACATGTTGTTTGGAGTGTTGTACATGTGATCCCGGTGTGGTGCCTCCGGAGCAATGCAGGAAGAAGTAGACCGAGCCTATGCGGAGCAAAAAGTGGTTGTCATGATGTACCAGCCCAAGGGGCGGGCTGGGGGAAGGGGGGGGGAGAGGGGGGGGGAGAGGGGGGGCGGGCAGGCGAGTCGCGAACACATCACTGGAGGATTAACCAAACGTTTCTTGTCTCAGAGATTGCAATGCAAAGCAGGTAAGTTGGATAGCCATCACAGGCTGTGGAGTTTCAGCTGTGCTTTGTTCAGCAGTTTGAACTAAAATCATTACCTGAAAGCCTCGATGTATCCTCCAAGAGTGGTGGTAGAGTTGCCATGTGTCATGGCATTTGCCAGGAACCTCCGGAATAGCTTTGTTACCCTCTCATGAAGCCACTTCACTTTCGCTTCGCTGATCAACGAGTCGCAATCATCATTGCTACCGCCATCAAACTGGAAGAGTGATGATATTTCCTGTGACGACGGCAGTCGAATGTTCGGGGGAGTATCAGTATCCAGTTGTTGGTGGTCCAGAGCCCTGAGGCAGCACACAGTATCATTGATGTCCTGCACCATCCTCCACACATCAGGGCATGTTGTGCTCCTCAATCGCAAGACCAAGTATAGTGTTGCATCATTATCCACTCCACACTCCTCCAGTGTTGAACACCCATTCAGCTGGCGCCCACGATACAGCAACCTCTGCTCTGCAATTGGAATCCCAGTCCGGGACCTGCAAAATTGTGCAAAGACATTTTCAGGAGGCAAGAAAAGCGGCAAACAAAATCTGAGATCTCCGACAGCTACTTTGATACAGAGTGCATACAGTCTGTACAGGCATGGAACATTTTGTTGAAGGTATTGATGCACCACTTCCATTGCTTCAACTTTTCAGGGTTGTCACACTATTCGGAAATTTGTCAAGAAAGCCTTTGGGACATCCATTAAAATTGGAACGATACAGAGAATATTAGCATCGCCCCTTCGTATCAATGGATGGCAGCCAGTGCTTCAGCGGATCAGACTGTGGATTGCATTTCGATCCACTGGAGTGTCTCATGGTCAGACCTTACTTCAAAGTGTCTACCATGGAGATTATGCTTCCAATGTTTCAAAGCCATGTAAAAACAAAGCATAGCGCTCCTCATAAAGAAGATGCCATCAGTAGTACATACCTACAATCAACTTGTGCCTAATCTCTCATCCTCCAAACAAAAAGGTACTAACTACTTCCTTAATATAGTCTTCTACTTCAATACTTGTCTCTTCTAAGTAGTCTATACCCAAAATCATATCAAAAGGCAGATCATCATTAACCAAAAAAGACAACATATACCTAATCTCTCATCCTCCACAGGAAGAGGTACAAACTATTTCCTTGACGCAGTCTCCTACTTCAATAGTCGTCTTGTTATTAACAAAGGTAGATCCTAAAAGTCTACTTAGCTTTTGCACCCAGTCCTCTACATGCAGTCTCTCCACACAAGACCTACGCATATAATTGACCATCGACCCCGAAGCAGCAAGTTTGTCAACCTTGTGCCTACCCACACTCGCTTCTACCACGACCTATTCTCCTTGTGGACCATTTTTTTCAGCTACCCAAGATGCTAATACATTATTTTATGATAGTTCCATTTCTAGCTCCTTCAAGGATTCAGTCACGTCTTTAAAGCAGAGCATCCCTGGTCAGACTGTGACTGAGGGGCAGCTACAAAGTTAGTAGTTATCGTTGTAACAGTCTGAAATGAAAGGTTGATGGAGAACTTCCTAAACCAGCTGGGACGAGATCTCCTAGCTCTTTAAACTCGAGGCCGCTATTTCCTCAATGGCTTGTTTGGTTTCCCTGTCTGTTTTGGGGGCGCCGACCCTTAGTTGCATTTACCCTTATAACTTACCAAACCAAACACTTTTACACAGTCCTTCCCTACCCCAATTTGGGACGGACTTGACTTCTTTTACTTACTCTTGGCTGGCTCCTTTAAACCAGCTTCCTTAGCCTTCCATAAAGCAATGACCCCTCTTCCCATAGCCCTACGTAGCTACAACTTTGTTCACCGGAGCTGTCGAGACTTTAAAGAATGTGGTGGCCTCCACTTCACTTCAGACACGAAGTAAGTGGAACAAGGGGGTGCGAGGGTGATGGTGAAGATATTTCCACCTCACAAGCTAGTGGAACAAGAGGCGGCTTATAGCAGACATGCCAATAACTGGAATTTTTATGATGCTGCATCTTTCAAATCTGTGAATGATAACTCGCATCACGGAGCACGCAAATAGCCTGTCGGGAGGATGTGCAGGTCACATTTAACCCCCGACACTTTATTAGACACTATACGATCTTAGTCAATGCATGTCATTCCTAGACTTCCTCATTTGTTCAACAACATGAGCAACTAGTTTGTTGCTTTTTCTGCAGCCATCCTATTGTAGAACCTCTTCTCTACTGATTCCACAAACTCTTCCAAGATCTTGGTCCTGGCCCAAGCCTCAAAATCTCTCCCATAGCCCTACGCAGCTAGAACTCCATTCACCGGAGTTGTCGAGACTTAAGGAATGTGGTGGCCTCCACTTCACTTCAGATACGAAGGAAGTGGACCAAGGGGGTGCGAGGGTGATGGTGAAGACATTTCCACCTACAAGCTAGTGGAACAGGAGGCGGCTTATAGCAGAAGTGCCAATAACTGGATTTTTTTATGATGCTGCATCTTTCAAATCTGTGAATGACAAGGTAAATGGATTAGAAGTTGCCTAGAAGCTTTCAAAAGAGACCATATCGCAGTGAGGGACAACACTCTCATACGATCCATATCCACCTCAATATTCACTATATGGGAACTGCAGGAGCAAGACAAACAGATAATCGATTCATGGTGCAGCGTACACTGTGAACTCTCAAAGGTCAGAATCTACCCCTGGACTCCGCCCAAGCCACCTGGGCCAACGGAGCGAAGGGAGAAGATGATGAACGACTACTTCTGGGTCGACTTTAGACACGCTGTGAAAGAAATCTAGGCAACTTTAATTCAAGATCTTCAGTAAAAGTATAAGACTCTGGACTTATCGACCAACTCCATCCCTTCATTGCGCAGCGGGATGATTATTTGATGTTGGCTTTGGACAAACCCCTTTTGACCTCCCCTTCTCGATTGATGATATCATCATATACACGAAAAGCCACAAAGAATTCGGAGTAAATACTGCCCACAAACTTTATCCATGGTGTTTCAAATGTAAAATAAAGGGCACATATGCACTGAGACAGTATGCCCCATTCACCCGCAAAAGGGGGCCAGAGCCACAGGTCGTCCTCTGAGGACCCCTTTCAGGCGACTCACTAGCGCCTAATCGACCCTGTTAATGAGGTGTGGTTCTTCATCGAAGGGACGCCAGAATCTACCCCTGGACTCCGCCCAAGCCACCTGGTCCGGTGGAGCGAAGGAAGAAGATGATGAACGACTACTTCTGGGTCGAGTTTAGACACGCTGCGATAGAAATCCAGGCAACTTTAATTCAAGATCTTCAGTAAAAGTATAAGATTCTGGACTTTATCGACCCACTCCCTCCCATTCTCGATTCATGATATCATCATATACACGAAAGGCCACCAAGAATTCGGCCACAAAGAATTCGGAGTAAATACTACCCACAAACTTTATCCATGGTGTTTCAAATGTAAAATCAAGGGCACATATGCACTGAGACAGCATGGCCCCTTCACCAGCAAAAGGGGTGAGAGCCAGAGGTCGTCCTCTGAGGACCCCTTTCAGGTGACTCACTGTCACCTAATCGACCCTGCTAATGAGGGGTGGGTCTTCATCGAAGGGAGCCGGCAGGTGGAGGAAACGATTGGGCGGGTATGGTAAAAAGAGGGGGACCTGGACTAGGAGATCCAACCCCCCAACATGTGGTTTCCGCCAAAGACTGTGGAGGCCAAGCTACAGGAGACCGCCCCCACACCGCACTGCAGGACCGGCAGGCAGGGAAGAGACTGAAAAATCCCAGACCGAATCACTTCCTCGCACCAGCGATACAGGAAGAGGTATGGCAGCAGGTAACAACCAAGAAGCACAAGCCCAAAAGTACAAACCAGGCGAGTGCCACGACAGAAAGACAACGCAGACAAACAATTATGCAGCCTCGACAACAGGTTTGTAACCCGGAGGCCGCCCAGACCCACCAAGGGACGGCCTCCCAGGTGCAGAACCGAGGAGAAACGAAAGCCATCAGGAAAGCCTGACTGCAGGGACGGGCGAGGGGGGTAGAAAGGAGAAATTGGAACACTCAGTGACGACAGTAGGTGACATAGGGAGGGAGGGGGACTGAACACATGAATCAGCCCCCACATGCCGAGACCGGGCCGGGGGGCCCACTCAAGGGAGGGTCAGAAGACCCTTTTAAGGAAGCTTTCAGGCTGCAGCCTAAGGGAGGGTCAGAAGACCCTTTAAGGAAGTTTCCGTACATACGTTGTATTCGAATGTTTGGAAATACCAATTTTTGTTTTTAATCGAGAAAATTACAACAAAAAAAAGAGGCTGTACAGCATTGCAATTCGAACAACTTTTGCCTGAGGGCCGTGTCAAAATTCACAACCAAATTCGAGAGAAAGGAAAAATACAAACGAGAGGTTTCTGTTTTCTTGTTTCTTTAGAATTTCTATTTTTCAAAAAAGTCCAAAAAAAAATATGTTGTATAAAATTGCAATACAAAACTTTTGCCTGACGGTCTTGGCAAAATTTCCAACCAAATTTGAGAAAAGGACGGTGGTACGACAGGCTCCTGCAAAGTTGTGCCCTAAAACTCGTTCTATAACATACGTACGTTGTATTCGAACACAAGGTACGTATGTTTTTTTTGGGGGGGGGGGTTAGGACAGTAGTCCTAAGGCTGTACAGGGACCCCTGCAAGCATAGCTACCTCTCACAATTAAGGGGATGCACGTTGCCCCCCGCCCTAATCGGTGGCGGTCAGGGAGGAGGGTGGGGCCGCCCGGTTGGGGGGGGTGGGGGGTGGGGGGGGGGCTAACGCAAAGACGGAGCATTTTGCCAGTTGCAGCGCCTACCGTCTAATATGGCCAGCACCAAACTTGGAAAACAGCAAAAGTAGAAAACAACCCATACCTAGAACTTGGGCTAGCTCCTTGTCGTGTGCAGGTATACGGGAAATAACTAGAACAAACCCAAACCCACCTTCTGCAGTAGCAAAAGTCTGCAGCCTGTCGAGCTATGTGGGGTGCTCCTTTTGGGGCACTTCTGGAGGTTCCACAAACACATCTTCTGTCTCACAAATTTGTGGAATGAAATCAGGGAATTTTAGTTGTGTCATCACAACCAAAGGCAGGGCCCTATGTCCAGAAAAAATGCAACAATTTGTGAATTACACAAAAGACGCTCATCACTTCCTTTGTGTTCATACGTGTCATGCATCTTTCTCTGTGGCCTCCCAGCCCGACATCTACTACGGTGTTTCAAGCTCATTGGTTCCGTGAGAGATCTCAAAGCAAACGATTGGTTTGCATAGCGTTGTGCAACTATTTCTCCTCGCACCACGACCCATGGATCACAAGCTTCCATACTTCCTATTCGTCTTTTTCCTTTCTTTGCAGCGCTTTACCTGCGTTGTGTCGTTCACATGCCTCAGGAACAGCACTTCCATCATCACACACTGATTCGTTTTATTTCCTTTTCCCCCTTCTTTGTCAGCATGATGGCACAGCTCATCAAGGCTACTGGA